CCCCACCCCCCCCCCCCCCCCAGTTTTCATATACCTCTTCGCGGACCCAGCAGGAGCTCTGACTGGCAGCCAATGTGCAAAAGGGACCGGGACCTAGTCGGCTTTTCTCGAGTTCAGACACATGGTCTCAGTCTCAGACTGCGCTTGTCACAGACTCGTGCATTTTCTAACAGCCCAGGCCTTTGCAGGTGCAAGGGCGGATGCTGGGGTGGGCACAGGATACCGACTTTAGAGGATTGCAAACTAGCGCCCTCAGGCTGTAGGCCTTCAGGCCAAGCCACCGCCACCACCCCCCTCTTTTCTGTTCCCTTCCTCTCAGCGTGGGCCCTGCACGCATGGCAGTTGCCGAGTCCTCACTGGTGGAAAGCTCTGATGGAGTCGGCTCTTAGGACCAATACAGGCTGGAGTCTTTGGGCGGCCCTCCCGCGCCTGGCCCTACCCACGAGAAGTCTTCGCGGCGTGTTCAGGGGCATAGTTCCAAGAGGTTAAACAGGCCTGCAAGTTTGGGGTGTCACCGGTCTCCCCTAAATTCAGCGGCGCTAGACATCTGAGGTTGGGGCCCTCAGTTTACTAAACCAACCCTCGTCCCAGCGGTACAGATGGGAAAACTTAATCTCCTCTGTCTCCCAGGCTTGAGAGAACCTTTGCCTGGACCCTGCTCCACACTTACTACGTTGCAAATTGCCCTTCAAATCCCGAAGTTGCCTTTTTCTGTGACTCTCTCTCTCTTCTCTCTCTGCTCCTTCTTTTTCTTCTTGTTTTTCCATATTTTCTTCCTCCATTCATTCATCCAGCGCTCTGTGAGCTGGGCTGCCATTCTTTTAGTTAGCCACACTAGCTAGGGTCGTCGGGGGATCCCCGCAGTGACGCAGTTCAAAAGTGAGCACTCTGGCTTTCGAGCAGCCAATAGAATCCCTGAACCTGGGGCATGAGGTCATCAGTGGCAGTCTGCATTGGTTCAGGCCTGGAAACGAAGGTCCCCATAGCAACCGACGGTGCGTCCAAGCATAACCTTGAGAGTGGTCATTGCTCCAGCTGTTGTGATCCATCTCCTGTAGCTGCTTTAATAAAGTGTTGGGAAATGGAATGGAGAAGCTGGAGTGGAGTTCAATGTCCCAGGTTCTGTAGCCTTCACCCAACCAAGCTCTTGTCCTACTCAAAATTCTTTTTTTCACTCAAAGCAAAGGTCAGTGTCACTTAACCCAGAAAGTTTAGGCAGGGGTTATTTGCCACAGTCATGGTGCCCTGGGTGCAGAGCTACTGCCATGGGGAATGTCAATTCTGAGATCCTTGTGTTCATCTGCATATCGTCTGCATCTCATTTGCATTCTGTTCATTTAAGGTCAAATTGGGCAGACATCTCCACCTCCCTATCTCTGTCACTTGTCTGTATCTGCAATCTATCCCTTGGTGGCTCTGTATTCCTCCACTGTCCAATTCCATGCTCCCCACCCTCCTCCCACTCTCCAAAGTCTCCTGGGGGTGGGAAGTGGCAAAGACTACTAAAGGAGAAAGAATAAGGAGTGTGCCTCTCCTCTAGATGTTGGTGACAGATGGGGAGTGCTGGTCGGTACTGCCTGGAGACTAAATTGGCAAAGCAAGTAGAGGGGGGAGGTGCCCCGGCTGGGTTGAAGGTCTCTAGGGCCAAATCACCCACATGCCTGGTGAGATGCTGGGGCTAGGGATGCCTGGTTCCAGCAAGGAGCAGGCTTGCCCACCTGTCTGGTGCCAAGGCAGCTTCCTTCCCTCAATTAAACACTAATGAGGTGTCATTTAACCCTTACCTTGCCTAGCTATCAGGCATGTGGAACTGAAATTCATGGTCTCACACTGATAAAAGGGAGGAAAAAGACAGCCTCTGAGGAAACAGAGGCAGCGAGATCAAGGTACCCAAACACAAGAAAGGAGGGGCCACATACAGGGTATCTCTCAAGGGATTCTAAGAATGGTGGCACTGTCCAAATGCATTTTTTTCTCTCATGGATTTACAATTATCTATTAAACACCTCTACTAACTAAATACCAGACTGTATTTGGGTGCTGAGTACACACACTGGCATGAGACAAGAACCTTTCTCTTCAGAGACATGGCAGGCTGAGTTCCAGGCCAGCCTGATCTACAGAGTGAGTTCCAGAACAGCAGGGTCTACAGAGAAAACCTGTCTCAAAAAAAAAAAAAAAATAGGAAGAAAGAAAAAAAGAAATCTTCAGAAACAGACCAGCCATTAAATAAGCATGATGCCAAGTGTAAGCATTAATATAGAGCTACATACAAGTGATTGGGAACACAGGGGAGAATGGGCTCTGAGAAGGCTTTGATTGAGAAGAACAAAATTTATGGCAGGGAGACAGGCAGAATTAATGATATTCATGTGTTTTGACCACAAGTAAAGGTCCATGTTGAAATGTATTTTAAGGACTGTTGGTATATACCTTTACAGCATGTTTTTGTCTACATGAATGTATGAGTGTGTGTGTGTGTGTGTGTGTGAGAGAGAGAGAGAGAGAGAGAGAGAGAGAGAGAGAGAGAGAGAGAGGATCTCTGAGTATCTTGAGCTCTTCTTCTGAACTCATATTGTGGTTTTATTACAGATCAATGCTGCGAAGCTCTTGTGCAGATTGGCCTGAACCTGCACAGCCCAGGGGAGAGAAATGGAGAACTGATGTTGGCTCCATGGGAAAAGGTGGGCAGACATTATCTTCCCATCAGGGAGCCTAGCTCCTAAAACAGCAGCAGTCTGGCCAAGGGAGACAAGGGGCTGGGCTCCAGGCTATAGGGTACTACTGGGCATGGTGGACCACTCTGCCTCTTCCCAAGTGACATGGGTGTTACATCCACCACTCCCCACCAAGTCCCCTCCCCCACCAGTTCCTCTGTGTAAAAGAGTAGGCTAGCTCAGACCTGTCTGCTGGCTCTCTCCCTGGGGAGCTGATCCTTTCCAGGGGACAGGCGAGGGCTGGGGAATGCTAGGGCTTGCTGAGAAGTTGCCAGATACTCCACCCTGACTCAACAAGGCTCTCTACGGCCTGGGTTCTCTCCACCCACTCTGGTCTTTGCCCAGGCATAGACTTCATTGCCAGGGATGCCCTTGATGGTTGGCCAGAGGGTGGGGGCCTGGGCTCCAACAGTGGAGATGTGGTCTAGGTAGTGATACCCAACTCAAAGACCTCTCTATACCAGGTCTTTCTGTCTCCTCACAGGCACTTTCTAGGAAGCAAAACTTTAGTGAGCATCAGATCTAGGAAGCATTTGAGATTAAGAAGTGGCCGTGGGGGATCTGAGATGGTAAAGAGCTCTTCCTCCCACAGTCTGAAGACAGGAGCTTTCTTATTTACTTATTTATTTATTTATTTAGCCACTCTGTAGCCCTGACCACCCTTGAACTCACAGAGATCTACCTGCCTCTGCCTCCTCCTGAATGCCAGGATTAAAGGTGTGCGCCACCATGCCCGGCTAGACTTCTTTTAAAAATGTGTCTCTCCATTCAACCTATTTAATCTTTTCCTACTTTCCAAGCCCTAGGTTATCTTTATCTCTGTGATGGTTGTCAGGCAAGCTCTAAAATTAGGGTAAG